GAACAAGACAGACAGGATCCCTATCTGTACTCTCAGAGAACACCTATAGTAGGGCTGTGTGTTGGGTGAATGTGTTGGGTAGTAAATAATAAGCAAATAATGAGCAGAGTAATTTCAAAAAGTAGAAAGGACTATTTAAAAAAATAGGTTTCTTTTAGTGGAAGAGACTATCAGCTCTAGGATCTTCTCCCTCGTCTCAGTTCAGTAAAATGCTGTCAGTCTGCTTTATCCAGTACCTTGGCCATGGCTTCTATCTGTGCTGCTTAGTCCGTAGTCTCCAAGGCTGTGCCCTATCTGGATGTCTGTGTTTCTGACTCTGTGCCACCACTTGCATCTGCAGTGCACAAGGAAGGACTGCTACTTTTGTGGGAGAGTTCATTCTTGACTGGGCCACAGCACATCTTGTGAAAGAGCATTAGACATTTGCCACTGCTCAACAGCTCTGGGAGGAAGTGTTTATTGAGTAGCGTGCAGTAGTTTTTATGAGTAACCATGATACAGTCTCCTCCTAAAGGGAAACCCACGAGTGTCTAAAGGATCTGTGATGGCCCTCTTTATATTCCCAGTACTTGGGATGATCCCTGATAGACCCAGCAAGAGCTAAACAGATAATGGTTGAATTATTTTTTCTTTATGAATTTTAATGTTTAACTTTTTAAAAAGTAGTCCATATTTAGTTCCATAAATGGAGTTTTTACTATAAAACTGCACCTCCACAGTTCCAGTGGGGCAGGGTGAGTTACCATAGATACATGTACAAGGAAGCCAGGGACCTCTGGGTCCTGGATGGTAAGAATGAGAGATGCCACAGACATTGCTTATGAGCATCTCCTGACTTATCTTTCGATTTGTGCCCATTTCTAGATTTCTCTTATCCTCCCAGATATGCTGGTAAGAGTTGTAAAGACAGAGCTTGCCCTGGGGCCAGTAATAAGGAACTTGGGCTTGAGGGTGAGGTTATTCATAGGAGAAAGGAGGCAGATTTTCATCAGGCCCAGGGGAAGCAATCTTCACTACAATGATTCTCTAGTGCTGCTTCAACTTTAGAAGCATTCTTAGAACGGTGTGACTAAACAACTATAAACAAACGTTGGTGGGGTCGCCTTCTCCCCCATTCCAGTTACCATCCCACAGTCCATGTTCCAACATCCCGCTATCCACTTTTCTCTACTTTTAGGGACAGTCCTGTGTTGAAGCCTTTGGAAAGTAGCTAGGGAAGAGATGTGACTTACCCTCTTGATTCCGTCATGGAGTGGGAGTAAGAGCAAGAGCAGGGCGTCTGATGCATTGTCCTAGGAGTAGTGCTGAGACCCGCGGTCATCAGCTGTGTCCTCATCGCTGTCCGCTGGACTCCAACCAGGCTCCCTCTGTGGCCCGTGCTGAGCGCTGCAACGCCTGCGCAAGCGCTCTGCGGTGGAGCGGTTGCCAAGAGATCCTTACGCCTTCTCCTTCCTGAGCCTTACGGTGGAAGTGCTTTGTGTTTGGAGCCTCCTGGGAGACCACTTTCTTAAGTCTCTTTCAACTGGATGTTCAATGGGAGGAGATCCCCTTGGTCCCCCTTATTTCTACCCCCGGGGGCTGCCACGTGGACTACCCCTGCAGATGAAGACCGCTCAGATGGACGACGTTTACGAAGAACTCTATTGGTACCTGGACCTGGATAACAATGGGACCCTGGATATCCATGAGCTTCAAGAAGGCCTGCGGGATCTAGGATTCTCTGTGACCCAGGAGAAAGGGAAGGTGGGCCTCAAAGGGGTTGAGGTCAGACAGATATTGGGGCTGGGAATTCCGAAGAGGCCCTTGGGCAAAGTGGAGTGAAGACATATTTATACATTCCCAAGCGGAGCCTAGGCCCCACCATAGTTTTCAGGTGGTTTTCCCAGCCTTTTTGTTTAATAAGAATAAACCAACACAGCTAATACTTTTCTTAACCATTTTTCTCAGGTTTCTCTCAGGCTGTAATGAAACTTCTTCGGATTGCTCCCAAGATGTTAGCTGCAGCCTTATTCTTTGGGGTCACTGGTAATGTGCCGGCTTGTCCTTAACCTGGATGGATATATGGGCCAAAGGTGCTCCATCCCCAAAGATTAACTAGGATAAACACTGTATGTATGTTTTGGGGGGAAGGATGGTAGAGAGAATTTCTCTGTTTTGGTGTCTGTTCCTGGTAGGGGGAACAGTCAGTCTAAAAGGCTATTCAGACTCGGGATGTTACTAGTCCCAGGTTTCATTATAGCGTGCCTTAGTTGTCAAACAAAGATCAAGCTTGGGCAGCAGTCTCCAGCTCAGCAGGCTACATTGCAAGCTCCTTCTTCGGTAGGTAATACCTCCATTTCTATCACAGTAATTTCAAGTTTTCTGTTTGGAAATTATTATTGTATATAATTATTATTTTCCAATTACATTTTCTTGAGTGTTTGACCCATTAGACTGGAAAAATCCATGATAAAAATGACTGTCTAATTCATTTCATATAATAAATACATGTATTCTCAAAAAGGGGGCTCTGGTGGCAGTGCCTACGGCATTTGACCGCTTACCAGAAGGCTGGCGGTTCAAACCCACCAGCCAGTCCTTAGAGGGATGTCTGGGCAATCTACTTCCATAGAGATACTGCCTCAGAAACCCAAAGAGGAGTCGCTATGAGTTGGGACTGACTCCATGGCAGTGAGTTTGGTTTTGAGTTTTGGAATTCATTTTAGATAATGAAATGTACATGTGTACTCAAAAAACTGCTGGTTGAATGCATGTTAAGATTTATAAAACTCTTCCTATTTTGACATAGGAGAAGCAATGTTAGATAATATTATCCTCACTAGCTGTGTGAACTTTGGAGCCTTTTTTTTCAAGTACCCATTCAGTCACTGAGCAGGTGTATTTTGAATATGTAGTGTATGCCACCCACTGCATCCTGGTTTCCTCATCTGTAATATCAGGGGGCTGGACTGGATGCTGTCTGTGGACTAGTTTAGTACAAAATGTTAAGACTGTAAAATTCCTTGAGTTTTTAATTCCTAAAACTAGCTAAAGTGTTTTTCCTTTTTAAGGTCAGAACCTCCTTCATATTTGTTTAAAGCCTTTCTCTATTTAGATTTACAAGTGTGATTTGTATTTGTTTGATAAAACGGTCTAGGAAGTGTTCCTGTTTTCTCTATTCTGTAGGCTTTCATGTGAAATTCTGGTTTATGCCATAAACAAATTTCAATCCTTTGAAACACTTTCTTCCTTAAAAAAACACATTTCTTGCAAATCTTCCTTTTGCTTTAGGTAAGAGATGATGTGAGCCATATATGCAGGCTTTGTATTTCTAGTGATGACTGACCAAGGGTTCACACATTAAAACCAAAGAAGAGGCATCCCCAGAGGGCTCTGCACTAGCCACACTCAACATTATATTCACAGGAGCACTGTTGTCACTTTTCCTCAGGTGACAGCAACATCTTTAGGAAATTCTGATGCAAGCTCTTTTTCCACGTCTCTACCTTTCCTGCTACAGAATTCACTTATATAGACTGAGAATTCAGTGGATTTTTAAAAAAATGCAAATAATACTTATGTAGTATTAAGATAGAAGAGATAAAACTTTTATTTTGATAGCTATCTAATAGGTGTTTGAATGATATTTTCTATTGTTTTTATTTTTACTATGAAAGAAATACAATATAAAATTCAAAAGAGAAAACTTAGTCTTTCACATTATTTTCAGATAGAGTTATCAGACAATTGTAACTTCGGGAATCTTAAAGGCACTTGACTGCTAACCAGTAGCCTGGCGGTTCAAATCCACCAGCCACTTCTTGGAAGGAAGGTTGGGCAATCTACTTCTGTAGTGATATTGCCTCGGCAATCCAGGGAGGGGTCACTATAAATCGGGGTCAACTCCATGGCACACAACAACAACAACAACAAAGTTATCCTAAGAAAGGTTACAGAGTGTATAGTCTTTTGACTTTGTTGATACTTTCAATTGTATGTTTGTTTTCTTTTTTCATTAGTTTTTGCTCTTTATTTCATTCCTTCAACTTAAAATTTTAATATTTTTCTAATTTCCTTTTTTCTCCTAATTTCTTGAGATTGAGGCTTAGATCACTGACTTCCAGCCTTTCTTCTTTTCAAATATACACATTTAAAACCATAAATTTCTTTTTAACATAACTTTGTCTAAGCATCCCATGGGTTTTAGATTGTACTATCTCTGAGATCTGTCCATTACACCATCCTGACACAACGTAGCATTTTTATATGAGACAGTTGTGACCCTTAGACCAATAGAATCTGTAAGCTTCTGGTGGGTGATTATGAGTGTCTTAAGAGGCAGAAAGTTTATATTTGGGTAGAGGTGAGAGAGGGCTTACATGTAATATCAAATTTCAGACATTTTTTTTCTTTCTCTAAAGCAATGATTTTAAGAGGATAAGATGAATGTTAGAAAAATAGGATATTTAAAAATAATTTAAACCAATCAAAGGAAGATTAGTATCTCTGAGGAAAAACATAGTTTGATGTGACAAGATAATCTTCAAGAAGACATTCTTCAGTTCTCTAAATCAAAGGGAAAAATATTATTTTAGATATTTAAACAAATCTCATGTCAGGTCAAGTATTTGTTTAATATCTTGTTGTTGTTGTGTGCCGTTGAGTCGGCCTCGACTCATAGCTACCCCTTCTTGGATTGCTGAGGCAGTATCACTACCTTTGCATTTATGAAATACATGTCAAAAAAAATTTAGGTTACATTAGCATTAAAAATGTCATCCCTTACAGAACTCAATGCATTATTTTTCTAATAGAAAATTTAACACAAGATCTGTAATCATCTTGCAGTCAAATGATGACTTTTATTATAAATCTTTACCTTATTGCATAATGAGATATTTGCCCTATAATTGGTGCTTTAGTTTTATAGAGAAACACCCAATCTAAGTATGTGTACAAATCATTTAGTGCTTTAATCCATACTGGCATTAAAATTATCTCTAATTTGCTTTTTTTTGTAGAAAATTTTTACTACTGGAGATGTAAACAAAGATGGGCAGCTGGATTTTGAAGAATTTATGAAGTACCTTAAAGACCATGAGAAAAAAATGAAGTTGGCATTTAAGAGTTTGGACAAAAATAATGATGGTGTGTCCCCCCCCCCCCCCCAATTTATCACCAGCTACGAAGAAGCACTTTGCATGCTTCCAGGAGTCTGAAATGATATATATTTAGCCTTTCTATGTATATTTTTTAGTGAAGAAAACATAAAGATGTTTTTGTCTACTGAATTAAAATGTGCAGGTGGGGATTTCAGTAAAAACATAATTGTGTTTCCTTGCTCTTAGGGCAAGAGAGATGTTTCTATATAAAAACCAAAAAACTGAACTCACTACCATGGAGTCAGATCCAACTCATAGCGACCCCTCCTTGGGTTTCCGAGGCGGTATCACTGCGGAGGTAGATTGCCCAACCTTCCTTCCTCCGAGTGGCTGGTGGGTTTGAACTGTCAGGCTTCTGGTTAGCAGTCAAATGCCTTAGGTACTACTCCACCAGAACTCCCTTGTTTCTGTATAGCATGAGTATTAGTATTATATGTTCTAAAATTAAAACAAAACCTTTTAGAGTATCTTACATTTGGTAGTTGTTTTGAAAGAATTAGTTTTAAGAAGATCCTCTCTGATCCTGAAAATTAGGGGAAAGTACTACATATAGGCATCTAAATATGGATTGGGATTAAGGTTTCTCTGTTCAGATTAACAGCTGGGAGTCAGAGTCCCAGCTGTACAGAGCATAAAGCAAGGACAACAGTAGGAGAGAGGGAGGAGTCATGAACCTCTCAGCTTCTAATACCTTAAACCCTCCACCCCAATGCTTAAGAATAGTCATGTCCATTCTGTTCACAGACTTATTATTCAAAGTGAGAGAAAGTTTGGTTTATATCAGGAAATTGACAAACTTTTTCTATAAAAGGCCAGATAATAAATACTTTAGCTTTGTGGGCCACACATTCTCTGTTGCAATATTTACATCTCAGACTGTAGTTTAAAAGCAGCCATAAACAATTTGTAAATGAACGTATATGGCTGCATTTCAATAAATTTTTTTTTTTTACAAAAACAGGCAGTGGACCTGGTTTGGCTCAAGGATTTTATTTACTGGCCTCTGAATATTTACTGAATATTAACTTCAGTTGGCATCAAAGCAAATTTCTTCAAACAACTAAATCCTTTGAATAGTTTTGATGAGTTTTCACGTCTACAGACCCTCAACCAGGAAGAACTGAGTTTGTCGTGGAAAGCAGTACTATTAGGACATTTGTTGTCTTCCATAAGCCTTGTATTATATTGTTGCTGTTGTTAGGAGCTGTAGAGTCAGTGTCAAGTCATAGTGACCCCATATGTTACAGAGAAGAACTGAGCCATCAGGTTTTCTGGACTGTAATCTTTATGAGAGTGGGTTGCCAGGTCTTCTCTTGCTGAGCTCCTGAATGGGTTCAAACCACCAACCTTTTGATTAGCAGCTGAGCACTCTTAACCCATGCAGCATCAGGGCTCTTTAAGCCTTATATCACATGTCCCCAACACTAGACTTAGCTTTAGTCTTCTTGCAAAATCCAGTTCCTACAATCAGTTTTCCTACTGCTACATGTCTATCCCAGTCTGGGTGCCCGACAGTTCAATTGGAGAGAGATCTCTGGACATTTAGGATGCACAGTAGTAGCTAGGAGGTGGGGCCACCTTAGGATCATCTGTCAGATAATTAGAGGCTAGCTGTCCCAGTACACAAGTTTGTGCACATCAGTTGTCCATTTCAGAAAATTCTAAATGAACTAATCCATAAAAAACCAAAGTCATTGCCATTGAGTCTGTTCCAACTCATAGCAACCCCCATTGGGTTTCTTATGTTGTAAATCTTTACAGAAGTCGATTGCCCCATCTTCCTTCTGCGGAGTGGCTGGTGGGTTTGAACCGCCAACCTTCTGGTTAGCAGTCAAATGCCTTAGGCACTACACACCAGAGTTCCTTAAATGAACTAAAGGAAATAATTAAAGATGAAATTTTAGTGATAAATTGGTAGCATGTGAAAGCAATTTCCTCTTAATTTATCTTGTTTACATATTTTAAAACAATTTACCATTATATGTTCATATTTTTATTGATTAGTCTTCCTTAAAGCAAGGCATGTATCTTTTAAGTGTGTAGTTCTAAAGGAGACTACTCAGAGTGGTATTTAAAGATTTTTATTGCTGATAGATGGATGCCTCTAACTCTCCTTGCACTGTCCACATTCTTACACTGTTCCTTTCCTCATCCCAAGGAAAATTCTTTCCAAATCCTGCCATTTCTTCAAGGCCTTTTTCTTAAATGAAGTCTTTCCTTTCTGTAATATCTAACAGTGATTTTCGTTTTCCTAGAGAGCTTCACCATTAATAACTGGTTTGGCACCAGACCTTCTCTTGCTTCACTTTGTTTCATACGTGTTATTCTTAGAGTGCCCATAAATCTATGAGCTACAAGAGAAATACAACGTTGTTGTTGTTGTTGTGTGCCGTCGGGTCGGACCCGACTCATAGCGACCCCTCCCTGGGTTGCTGAGGCAGTATCTTTACAGAAGTAGATTGCCCCATCTTCCTTCCGAGGAGTGGCTGGTGGGTTTGAACTGCCAGCCTTCTGGTTAGCAGTCAAGTGCCTTAGGCAATATCACTTGTATATTTTTACTTATATTTTCTTTCTTCTTATCCTCGTATTCTTCTCCTTCTTCTGTCTACAAACAAGGTGTAATTTCCTTAATCCTAATGATTTTTCCTTTATCCATTGTTCTTTGATCCCAGCTCTGGTTATTTTTGTTGTCATATTTCTCAAAAGAACTGTGCGTTTGCTTTGGCTCCCTTTCCTTATTTTGTACTCTCTCCTTGATCCAGTATGATACGACTTTATGCATAATAAATATTTAGTTAATAATTCTTACCACTTGTCTGTCAGTTTGTCATACTGTGATGGCTTGTGTGTTGCTGTGAAGCTGGAAGCTATCCACTAGTAGTTCAGATACCAGCAGGATCACCCATGACAGACAGGTTTCAGCAGAGTTTCCAGACTGAGACAGACTGGGAAGAAGGATGAGGCCATCCGCTTCTGAAAACATTCATCCTATTGTGCATAGTGTCAGTAGTAATTGTAGCTGACTTGATATTACCTAACAACAAAAACAACCTAAAGCTAATATTTATTAAAATGTAGACATGCATACTTTTGAAAATAATAGATCATAGTTTAATTGAATTTACCAGAGTCAGTATGTATTGATTTGAATCTCAGCTCTGCTACTTGTTTATGTTACTTAGCAAGACCACTTAAAATCTGTTGCTTTCTCTCAAAAGTAATGATTTAATGTAGCTACGAGTCTGTTGTGATCATTGAATGAATAATGTGTGTGTACATGTTTAATGTATTTGTTAAATGCTGAATACTGATGTTGCAATATGTGGTTAAGCAAATCCATAACTCACTTAATTGCATTTTTTTTTTTGTTTGTTTTAATCAGTATAAAACTTTCTCTTATACCATGAGAGATTTAAAATTCTTAGTGTCTTAAGATCCTTATCAGGAGCTCTGGTAGCGTAGTGCCTAAGGCATTTGACTGCTAACCAGAAGGCTGGCGGTTTGAACCCACCAGCCACTCCTCAGAAGAAAGGTTGGGCAATCTATTTCTGTAGTGATACCGCCTTGGAAACCCAAGGAGGGATCGCTATGAGTTGGGTCCGACTCGAGGGCACATAACAACAACAACAACAAGATCCTTGTCAGTTCTGAGTCTGAGTTTATGATCTTTTCATCTTTTTCAAGGGAAAATTGAGGCTTCAGAAATTGTCCAGGCTCTCCAGACACTGGGATTAAATATTTCTGAAAAACAAGCAGAGTCAATTCTTCAGAGGTAAGCTCTTCATCGTACTGTCTTTGACATTGGTTTTAATATCCTGCATTAGAGATTTATTTTTGTAAATGTGGTTTTAAAACAACTTCCTATACCTCACTGTTCCTCATTATGTACATCAACATCTTTCTTTCCTTTTTCCTTCCTTTTCATTTTGTGTGTAACATACATTTGAAGTGTGGTGTTGTTGTCATTATGTGCTGTCAAGTAGATTCGAACTCTTCATGACCCTGTTTGACAGAGTAGAACTTCCCCATCATGTCACCTTGGCTGTAATCTTTACTGGAGCAGATGGCTGGATCTTTTCTCCTGTGAAACTGCTGGGTGGGTTCAGACTGCCAACCTTTCAGTAGCTGTTGAGAGCTTAGGTATTGTGCCACCAGACTTCCTTATCTAAAGTGTAGGAATGGGAAATGTAGGCTCAGACCGTATTATTTTCTTGCAAGGTCACAAGGAGCGGTGGAATGACAATAAAGTGTTAAATCCATAGGTAAGAAACTAAGAATTTTGTTGCTCTTTCCCCCTCATTTGGTCTCCTGTGTGATGCTAGAACACATTGTTTTAGGATAAGGAGTCTAGCAGATTGATCGCGTTATTTAACTTATATGCATGACCATATGAGAGAGGAATTCCAAAGCTCTCCTGGCTAACAGAGAAGCAGTTTGAACATGATAGCCCAGGGCAGTCAGTTCATCTGTTTTTTAAATCAGAACTTTACAGATTTCAGTTTTTATTTCACAGGATATAGCAATAGTCTCTGAAGTCCAGGTGTCTTAAAAACTCCTTTGTTACAAACACAGCAGAGACCAGTTTTTTGTAATAGAAAAGAGGCAAGGGTAGTGTGGTGGTTAAGTTTGTGTGTCAACTTGGCTGGGTCTGGTTGAGTGGCTGGGGCAGCTGGATGTAGTATTCTCCATGATGAGACTGGTCATCAGCTCCATGGTGGAATCTACTGTGAGCAGCTGAGTAGCTGCCCTAGGGCTGTGGTCTGCTTCCTGTATATAAGGAGAAGCCTTGGGGATAGTCTCTAGCTTGTGATATGTTTGGGCCCTGCATGTAGTCGTGTCGTTAAGCAGCCTGCCATATTCTGCCAATCCTGGGACTTTCAATGGACTTGAATCAGTGGTCTGCCATGTGGTTTGGTAACATCGGGACTCTGTCTTTTTACTTGTCAACCTTGGGGTTGTCAGTCTCAGTAGCCAGTAGCTGCTGAATGAAGAGATACCTCTAGCTTCAGTGGGCTGGGAGCAAGAGGCAGAGTTGAAGCCCAAGGTCGAGGGGCTTTCACCCATCCCCTAGAGCCTGGCACTTTGCACTCAGACGTCTAGCCTCCCGAACTGTAAGAGAATAAACTCCTGTCTGTTCAAGCCATCCCATTTGTGGTATATTCCTGTCAGAGTGGCACTAGGTAACCAGAACAGATAGTTACATTACATTAATATTCTTGTGAATATTTATAGTTTGCAATGTTATCTAACAGTTTTCTTCTAAATGGCTTTATTGTCTGATTTATCACCTTTTATATATGTTCCAAGGAGCCCTGGTGGTGCAGTGGTTAAACTGCTCAACTGCTAACTGAAAGGTCAGCAGTTCAAACCCACCAGCCACTCCAGGGGAGAAAGATGTGGCAGTGTGCGTCCCTAAACATTATAGCCTTGGAAACCCTATAGGACAGCACTACTTTATCCTATACTATTGCTAAGAGTTGGAATTGACTGATGGGAGTGGGTTTGGATTTTTGGATTGATATATCTGTTCTAGTAGCATTTGAACCAAGACTTGAAGAAGATGAAGAGGTGCGCTATGTGGATAACTGGGGAAAGAATATTCCAACCAGTGAAGGGTTCTAAGTGGAAATATGCTTGATACCTATGAAAAGCAGCAAGGAGGCCCATGTGGGTAGAATGGCTGTGAGGGGAATAGAACATGTTCAGTTCACTTTGACTATCCTTCAGTTAACAGGTTTGTTCATCTGGGTTAAAGCATTTTCATATTAATTATAAGTTATTTACATTTTAAAATTTATCTTTTTATAGTCGTGTTATGTTATATCCCCAGTTAAAACAAGTGCCTCAAATGAGTATCTTCTTTGTACTGGACACTTTAGGTCCTGGGAATATGTTGTTGTTGTTTTGCCGTTGAGTCGGCCCCGACTCATAGCGACCCCTCCTTGGGTTTCCGAGGCAGTATCACTACGGAAGGAGGATTGCCCAACCTTCCTTCCGAGGAGTGGCTGGTGGGTTTGAACCGCCAGCCGTCTGGATAGCAGGCAAGTGTCTTAGCCACTATGCTACCAGAGCTCCTCTGAGAATATAGTAGTTGCAAAAGGGGCAAGGAGGCTGCATCTTCTCACCTCCTCTAACTATACAACAGGAGGACAGACTCACTGTCAGCAACCCAGTGCCTGCTCCTATGAGGCCAGACATGCCGCCACCTTCCACCACCTTCTTACTAACCTTGATACCAACTCTTCCACCTGCAGCACCCATCACCTCTGCTGGGTTTGATAATTTGCTGCAGTGGCCACACAGAACTCACAGATTATAGGGTTTATTAGGGAAGCGACAGGCTACAATTCAAGTTCAGGAACACACTCAGTCTCTCTCAGCCCGCTGTCTCGCAGCTGGCTGTCTTTCTCGGTAGCATTCTCTCTCTCAGCAGCGTATGTCTCTTGTGTCTCTCTCAGCAGCGTGTCTCACATCTCTCAGCACACGTTTCTCTCAGCAGCATGTCTTTCTCAGCTGGCAGTCAGAGAGACTCCTTCTGCCTCTAAGAGGGCTCCTTTTGAGCCTGGCAGAGTGGCCAGACTAACCAATCCCAACCTCAGAATTCTATATGCCTGAGAGAGAGAGCATGAACTTCCCAGAAGATTGCTTTGTGTTGCTCCAGGTGGATGACTTTAACAAGCATCTACTCAGTTACTCATGGCAAAGAGGGAGTTACAAATACTATGGCTAGAAAAGTCGTATCATGTAATTTTCTATACTGTAGTAGTGAACAAAACCGTCATAAATCCTGGCATAGTTAATGCAGAGTTGCTTTTAGGAAAAAAGAAAAAAATGTCATGAAGCTTGTAAAAGAAGCAAAACATTAATGACATATATTTAAGGCTAAAATGTATTAATTTTAAATGTTAAAGATGAGATACCAGGATCTCTTAAGACTCAAAGACCCAACCATAAAGAGTTTGATTTTCACAATCACTTGTTAATTTTCTTAATTTATTGGAGAAGGAAATTGGTAGGATATTTTGAGTATATTTCAAAATCACATCCAAATGTTACAACAAAAAATTAAGAAATACCTGAGCCAGTGCAAGAAAAAGTGGAGCATAACTCTGTTCACTACTAATTCCCCAGACCTTTCAGCTTTTGATTTAGGTAGCTCATTGATTTAGTGTTTGACAGTGTTGAAAGTAATCTGTAGTGAGAGCTCGCTGTAATTTTGGTGTCCATTTTTTATCTGTGTTGTTGTTGTTTGCCGTCAAGCCGGCCCCGACTCATAGCGACCCCTCCTTGGGTTTCTGAGGCAGTATCACTACAGAAGTAGGATTGCCCAATAGGTAATTAAAAATATCTGACGAGAACATCAAATGCTTGTGGTCATTTCCAACAACTTGTCCTTGTGAATTCGAATATTTTATTTAGTTAGGATATTAAGTTGGGAAAGAAACTGCTACTCTGTAAAATAGCCAATAATGTTAGTTTTATTTATCAATTTTGTTTTATTCTTTAATCAGAGTCTTTTTATTTTTAGCATTGATGCTGATGGGACGATGACTGTGGACTGGAATGAATGGAGGGACTACTTCTTATTTAATCCTGCTTCAGACATTGAGGAAATTATCCGTTTCTGGAAACATACTACTGTAAGTGTGTATTTTATGTTAACTTATAATTAGAGCTGTAAAATACACAGCTGTTACCCAAGAGCATCCTATAACAAGGCCAGGAGGTACAACTACCAATAGGTCCTTAACTGCTTATTTTATTAGGCATATGTTTAGAGTGTCTTAAAAAATCCTCAAGACTGCATAAACCTGGATGATGTAGTATCTGTATTTGCCAGACTCTCAGAATTGAAGTGCTACTCCCTTGATGTTGATTAACTGCCTATCATGTATTTACATTTATGTAAGCACTTGGCTGGTAACCAAAAGGTTGGTGGTTTGGACCCACCAGCAGTTCCACTGGAAAGAGCTGTGGTAGTCTTCCTCCTTAAAGGTTACAGCCTTGGAAAACCAGTGAGGGCAGTTCTGTTCTGTCCTACAGTGTCACTGTGAGTTGGAATTGACTCGACAGCAACACATTTGATTTTTGTTTGTTTATTCTGGCTTTAAAAAAACAAAAACAAAAACTCACAGCCTTGGAGTTGGATCTGAAAATAATAGTGTATTACATTTTACAGATACAGTACTGCCTAAATAAATCCAGTGCCTCATGACTTCCAGGATCTATCTCCTTGACCATTGATGATGGCCAAAGGTCCCTTTGGAAATTTTTGCTTGCGTAGTCAAAATGTCTAGATAAGAAATTTTGGTATAAGGAGGCATAAAGAGGTACTTATAAAATCATTGAAGGTTAAAAGATCCTTCTGGCTCATCTTCTCAGCATTTCATACCTGTCTATATTCAAAACTTTCAGTTTTTTATTAAATTCCATTAATATTCTGGTAAAACATGTACTTTAAGTTTTATTTATTATGTAATCTGCTCCTGAAACCAATGGGAGCTTTCTGGGGGATTTTTTTCCCCCTGGTAGGCTTGTCTTCTGTACTCTTTCATGGGTTCCAGTAAATGTGACATTAAAAGAATTTCAAAGACATTAAAAGAATTTCATTGCACTAAGTGAAGTCTAGAGTTCACATTGACACTAGTAACAATGCCTAGGCTTACACAGAGTGTTCTAAAAGTGTTGGTATTAATATCTTTCCAACTATGAGTATAAAATAATGCTACATTAGTAGTTCAGATGCCTGGATATATTTTATACTTCAGTGAGAGTGTATTTACATAATCATATTTTTAGGATGTCTTTGGAAATAGTTGGTAACATTTGAGGTTAAAAATCACATACCCATTATATTGATAGTAAAATGAATGAAGAGATAATTACCACCATAGCATAGCTCCTTAATCTTACTTTCTCACCTATAAAATTTTATAAAATTACTGAAATAATTTCAATAATAAAATTGTAAAAGTATTATTATAAAACTTTGTCCTCAAGCTGTGTTTATAATCTATAATGCTGAGAATAGATAGAGGGAGTCATTTAAAATAATATCACTCTTAGCAAAATTTTATATGTCTGTTATGTTTTTTAAATTATAAGTCAAATATATAAAAATGTTTATAGACAGTCTATATAAAAATGAGTTTAGGAGCCGTCATATGCATACTTTTAATTTACATGTTTAAAACATTGTACAATAAAGTACTTGTATATATAATTTTGAGATAAAGGAAATATCTTTGAACAATTAGAAAACTAATTTTTTAGAAGATCTCATCGCCCATTAGAGCAGTTTTCTAGCATTATGGAATGTGGCCGTAGCTAAAAAGGATTCACTACTCCGAATTGATTAAGAAAGAAAGTTCTAAATCTTGGTTTTGTAATTTTGTAATGACTGTTAATTTTCATTTCTTATGAATTTATAGTACAACTGGTTTAGCGTGACTGGGTTGTTTACAGTAATCTACATGCTCAAATTGGTTCAGTGTACTTTCTAAGAAATGAAGTTCATGTGAAATATGAAATGACATGCATTTCTTCCCTAAGACAAAACACATCTGGGGTAATCTATTTTTAATAGAAGGAACATGAGGTTCTTATTTCCATCTTAACAGGGAATTGACATAGGGGATAGTTTAACTATTCCAGACGAATTCACAGAGGATGAAAAAGTATCTGGACAGTGGTGGAGGCAGCTTCTGGCAGGAGGTATCGCTGGTGCTGTGTCTCGAACGAGCACTGCCCCTTTGGATCGTCTGAAAGTCATGATGCAGGTGAGTTTTACAATCATGTGTCTAAGTCCTAAAATGTTCTAAAGCTATGCATAAAGTGGTGCTTTGAAAAGAAGTTTCAAAATTTTTCAGTAATAGTATTGAATAGCTTTTAAAAAAATTGTGGTTTTGTTGCTGTTAACTCCAAATTCAATGCATAGAGATATTTTTGTGTTCTATCAAACTTTAAAATGTCAGTACATGTAGGTAATGAAGTTTTAACTTTTGGCATTCTATGAGTATTCAAATGTCTAATTTAAAAAAAAAAAAACCTCCAGCCATTTCTGTAGGATTCTCCTTAAATAATTTGTATTTACCTTCTATTTTGTCGAAAGTGGTGTATTTCTGAATTCTAGCCTCTTGAAACAAGGGTATAACTTTAAGAATTATTTTAAAGCTGAATTTAGCAGAAAAAGACCTGCATTTATAGACTGACTTTGATGTTTATTAGCAGCATCGCCTTGGCCTGGTCTGAGAGGAAAGAAAGAGGAAAAGGAAAGGAATTAATACTTATTTGGTACTCATTTTAGTAACCCATTGGATCTTCACTATAGCCCAGTGAGATAGGGATTCATCCTCATTTTACCCTTCAGGAATCCAAGGCTCAAAGAATTAAAGTAACTTTTCCTTTACCACACATTAGAGGAGGAATGGGCTATCTGTCTACAAAGACTGGTTCTCCCACTACATGAAACCCTTGAGGTCATTTTCCTTCATTATGGAATTGGAATAAGAATATCTAACAAGGGTGGTTGGAGGTTAGTGATATAAGGTATGTGAAAATGTCTGCTATATTAGGATACACTATTAAAACATAGTAGTTGCTTTAAACATATTTTTTAAAAGTTGTGTTTGTTAGTGTTATAGTCACACTTTTAATACTTGTCCTTAGACTTCTGTATGAAAAGATTTATGGTAATATTTTAAGCTAGAATCCATTCAGAATGTGCCCAGTTGCCAAAATGTATTTAGCAGGAAAGACAAAGCTTTAAATAAAACAAATAAGCATTCATCTTTTCTTTCTCACTATGGTTATTGTGAAGTTTGTTTATTTAAAGTAAAATAGATTTTTTTGGGCTTTAGTTTCCTTACTTTTAAAGTGAGAGCATAGAACTCACTGATCATAGTTTAATATTTTATCATATAAACAAAATTAAAAGTCTGATTTCACTATTATTTTTTCTAATACTTAAAATGTACTAATTTCATAAATAACTTTTAAGTGCCTACTATGTGTATAATTATATTAAATGCTGTGAAGGAAAAATGAGGTGCATAGTGACTTAGCTATTTTTTTACTCAAAAACTTATTTTGTCCTAGGAACAATATAGGCTTACTTGGAATTTATTTATTTATTTTTTTTGACATATTTATTTATTAACTTTTTATTGTGATCTGAGTGAACGTTTACAGGGCAAATTGGTTTTCCATTTGACGTTTTATGCACATTTGTTTCCTGACATTGATTACAGTCCCCACCATGTAACATCATTCTTCCCACTTCCTCCCTCTGTTTCCCATTTCCATTTGCTCTTCTTTCCTATCCCTACCTGTCTTCTGGGCTTATCCTTGGGCAAAAGTTGCTTGAAAGGGAGAGACCACAATAGAAGGTCCTGGATAGACTGAGAGAAAAATGTGGAACAAAACTTAAAATCATAAAAAAAGACCAGAGTTACTGGTTTGGTAGAGACTAGTGGAACCCCTAAGACTGTGTCCCTCAGTCACTCTTCAAAGCTGGAACTGAACTTACCTCAATGGCTCAGTTTTCATCTGAGCAATAGGCAGGCCTATAAGGTGAACAATAAAACTTGAGGGGTATACACTTCTTAGAATAATCAGCCATACAAGATCAAAAGAGTGACTTTTACTTGGAATTTATGAAAGCATATTGATTAGTCTGTCTTCAGTGACTTTTGTATTTATATTTGCACAAGTAAGAAATATACTGCTATAGAAAATGATCTATATCATCTGAAATGGAAGGCAATGAAAGGGAATAAAATGCATTTACCAAAGATTGCTGATGTCCCTCCAAGTACTGTATGAGTTTCCTTGTATCAGGACAAGGATATATGTTAGAGGAAAACATAGTAAGCCTCTATGATTATTTTACTCATTTGTTCTATAAATTATATAGACAAATAGAATATTTATTTACTAGTAATAGACCTAAGGCGCTCTGGTGGTGTAGTGCCTAAGGTGTTTGACTACTAACCAGAAGGTTGGTGGTTCAAACCTACCAGCCACTCTGTGGAAGGAACACTAGGCAATCTACTTCTGTAAAGATTTATCACCTTGGAAACCCAACTATGAGTCAGACTGGACTCAATGTAAGTGAGGTTGGTTTTTTTTTTTTTTTTTTTTTTTGAGTAATAGACATAGCTTCTAAAGTAGTTTTATTTAAAATTGTATAGTAATAGTGAAACAATCACAAGTTTTTTGGTTATTTTTATAAATAGGCAGTGTTTTGGTTACCTAGTAACGCTCTGACAGGACTATACCACAAAGGGGTTGGCCTTAACAAATAGGAATTTATTCTCTTACAGTTCAGGAGGTTAGGAGTCTGAGTTCCAAGGGCCAGGCTCCAGGGACTGTGTGAAAGCCCCTCAACCTTGGGCTTCAGCTCTGCCTCTTGCTCCCAGCCCACTGAAGCTAGAGGCATCTTTCCACTCAGGCAGCTGCTAGCTACTGAGGCTGACAAATCCAAGGTCAGCAAGTGAAAAGGTACAGTTTTGTTGTTACCAAACCATGTGGCAGGCCATTAATTCAAGTTCATTGAAAGTCCAAAGGTTGGCAGAGCATGGCAGGCTGCTGAATAATGACACGGCTACACGCCTGGTTCAAGTGTTCCATAAGCTAGAGACCATTCCCAACACTGCTGCTTATATATGGGAAGCAGACCACATCCCTAGAGCAGCTACTCAGCTGCTTGTGGTAGATTCACCATGGAGTTGATTGCCAGTCTCAACTATCTTTAGCTGCCCAGCCATTCAACCAGGCCCAGCCAAATTGACACACAAGCTTAACTACACAGTCAGCAATAAAGTCTAATACATCTTAGTTACTACATCTCTAGTAATGCATTAGTACTTATTGGACTAGGCAGTTGGTCCATATTCTCTTGAGTTTATTGCTTGGAGAGGCCTTGAGATGTGCGATAGCCCCTAACCTCCCCCCCAAAATCCCTGGAAAACCCACTGTCATCAAGTTGATTCTGACTCACAGTGACCTACAGGATAGAGTTGAACTCTTGCTGTAAGGTTCCCAAAGCTGTGAATCTTTATAGAAGCAGACTGCCTCATCTTTCTCCCACAGAGCAAGTGGCCTTTTTGTTAGCAGGTGAATGCTTTAACCACTGTGTCACCAGAGCTCCTGAGATAGAATCTAGAAATTTTTATGTTTGGCATCAGGCTATGTGCATTCCAGCATCTATGACTCTGATATTCATAAATGAGTCCAAATCAATTTCAGACCCATTTATATTTCATGTCTGCACTACTTCTTATGGGGAGGGGTTAATGTTTTACCTGCAGTGTACTTCCTTTTTTTATCTGTCTTAACATTAACTTGTTTGAATTCCAAAAGATGCTCCATAGCCTAATACTGCATACTTTGGTTCACATTATCTCACAAAATTGTTCATAAAATTTTAATTTTGATCATATTCTCTTTGTGTTACTTTCTCAGGGTGAGTAATATTGATTAGTTTTAGGTTTAGGTTTAGATACAGGTCTCTAAAGTGATGATAATCATTCCTCCCATCATTGTATACTTTGCAGGGCTTTGACCAGTTAATTCCAGTTCAACTCTCTGCTGAGAGTTTGCATTTTTACCTCAGATACATGGAATCAGAATCTACATTTTAACAAGATCCCCAGTACTGGGGATCTACAAGAATGCCCTGGAGATCTTGTTAAAATGTAGATTCTGATTCAGTGTATCTGGGGTAAACTACAAATTCTCGGCAGGGGGTTGGACTGGAATGAACTGGTTAGAAGCCCTGCTATTTTCTCTATCATCTATATTTTCAAATATATCTTACATTTATAAATAGTATTGAAAAAGAGAAAGGTTTGCACAGTACTTTTGAAATAGTGACAGTAACATGCCACCCATATTCTGCATCATTTTGCTTTTATTTTTAGGTTCATGGTTCAAAATCAGACAAAATGAATTTAGTTGGTGGCTTTCGACAGATGGTGAAAGAAGGAGGTATCCGTTCCCTTTGGAGAGGAAATGGTACAAATGTCATTAAAATTGCTCCTGAGACAGCTGTTAAATTCTGGGCATACGAACAGGTAATTGTTATCTCCTGTGGAATTTATTGACAAAGAGGCATTAATAAACTAATTGAATAAAGGTTAGCATACAGTGCTTTGGGGATTATTGTTTTACATCATGATCCTTTTTCACATATACTTTATGAGGAACTTCTCTTATAAGGGATTAGACTAGATTAACTCAGTGATTCCTCAAGATAAAATTCTGTGATTCTGAATTTCATACCATTTATAACGATTTTTCTATCCCTTTCTAAGTAGAATTTAAAGGAAAGGTACAATTTTAGCTTATTCATTTTGAATTCAGAGAAGAAGATGCGTATTAACATAAATTCCATGAAAGTGTCCCAGTCTACCATTTGTAAGGAAAACTTTTAAGTTGAAGTTCTTTGGGTAATTTGACATTGCTATAATATTGAGTTGAATTTAGAATGGAAGTGACAGGAAGGCAAATGCTTCTCTGTGTACTCCAGCACTTAAATTGCTGGAGTGTTCAGTAAGTGTTTGTTGAATGAGTAAATAAATTATTTTATTTCTAAATCCAATTTATCTGTTAATTTTTGTTAACTTCACTTGTTTAAGGTAGTGCTTCTGCCTAACTTGATGGTAAGAGGAAATTCAGAAGTGAATTTGGGAGTTTGATTTCTCTTTATTATAATCAGTAGGACTGTCCAGTTAAACATCCACAGAATTATTTTTTTCATGATTTCTTTCACTGTTGTTTATCATAGACTGTACTTAAAAAAAAAAAAACCAACAACTCACTGCCGTCGAGTCAGAGGCAACCATAGCGACCCCTCTTTGGGTTTCTGAGGCAGCATCACTACAGAAGTAGATTGCCCATTCTTCCTTTCAAGGAATATCTGGTGGGTTTGAACCGCCAGCCTTCTGGTTAGCAGTCAAATAAACTATAAGGGCCGTAAAATTTAACTCCACTCCATAAGGCTGCCAGTTCAAACCCACCAGCCACTCCTTGGAAGGAAGGTTGGGCAATCTACTTCTGTAGTGATAGTGCCTCGGAAACCCAAGGAGGGGTCACTACGAGTCAGATCCGACTCCATGGCAATGGTTGAATTTGTGTTATATTTTTTTGTATTATTGCAAATAGGTTCTAAATCAGTCTGGAAAGTATTTTGTTCTTCAAGAATCAAGATATTCTTAAGATTACTAGTGGTATCCTTCTCTTGGCTTAGGAAATAGAGAAGCAGAGAAAAATACTGAAAAAAAACTCGTCTCTAGGATTTTGATCAGAATCTTTGGGAAGGATTTTTTTTTTCTGTGAATGTTTGAGTATTCAAATACCCACTGTTAAATGCTAGTGTTTTAGATACCCTTATGTTATTCTGATTATATGCTTTGATTTTATGATAAGAAAGCCAGAGCTTAAAATAAATAAATACTCAAGAATAAAACCATTATCTCAATATGCAAGAAGTTTGGAAGTCCCTTTGTTCTTGCAAGCAAACATGGGCATTACATTTTATGCAACTTGTCAGATTCTTATCTTAGACATTACCAATAGGTGTCCTTTGTTTCCATTCAACAAGACCCCTTTCTGACTCCTCTTTATAATAGTCTAATTTCTGCATGTTAAGTCAGAGATACAGAGAAAGCTCCTTAAGTGGTATAGTGTCCTCAGGGTTCTGGGGCCTGTTATGGCCTTCCATTTTCTCTTTTCCTGTTGAAGGTCTATTTTCCCTTAGGGTCCTTCTAAGGCCAGCCACCTCCTAGACATGTTTCCTAAACATCCAAACCAGAACCAATACCTCCCTTGCCCAGTCTCCTTACAGCATTGAATTATAAAATATCTAATTTTTCACTGAATAATGGAAATCCCATTGTATTCCCAGTAAGTTACAAATTATTTGAGGGTACATATTATTTTCAGATATCCTGTTAGTACCTAGTTATCTTACTTCTGGATTTGAGCTCCCGAATAACTAGTAGTTTAGAAAATTAAGAAAAGGGTATTTTCAGCCTGATAAATTGCTTAAAAAACAAAACAATACATTATCAGTTTGGGGTTAAGCTGTGGTCTGTTTGGGTTGGCATTATACTACAGTGGTATAATTTTATAAGTGATAAGGTTGAAGTATGATGTAATATTCACATGGTTTTAGGTGGTTTCCGTGTACTAACTGCCCTCTGATCTGCCATCTGTTTCTTCATCTCTATACCGATTATTCACCTGCATACTACATATCTCTGCATTTCTCCTTGCATATCCTTGGGGTACCTCTGCCCCACCAACACATATAAACACATGTCATTTCTCTTTCCATATGTCATATGCTGGTGAACATTCTTCAAACCTTTACTCAGGAGTTATCTCCTCTATAACCTCCCCTGATAAACCACACTGCCCACCTGGGTTAGTATCTTTCTTCTGCATTGTTGTCCTTCCTTTTGCTTCCCTCTGCTTCAGAACTTTCACACTGAATTCTCATATCTCAGTACTTATGTATCTCCTGAAAGAGACAGTGTCCTTAGGCAATAGCTGTTTGTTTTCAGGTTTGTATTTCTAGCACCTTGCTCAGTACAAATAAATCCTTACTGAATGAGTAAAAAGACAAAACTCTCAGGACTGGAATTTGAGCCCAAGCCAGCCTGGGTCTCAAGCCCATGAAGGGAAAGGTGGATATTGCAAGCAGAAAGAGAAGCATGTAGACAGAAGCTTAGGCATGAAAGTGCATTCAGTGAATTAAATGTGGTTCATTATGGCTCAACTGGAGTCTAGTGTGTGTCTGGAAAGCTAATGATGAAAGAAGGTTGACAGACAGAAGCCAATAATGAGAGTTTAGAGTTTAATCTTGAATGTGGTGGAGGGCTATCAAAGCATCTTCTGTAAGGGTATGATATGAGTACATTTATGTTTGAAAAAAGATATGTTGAAGTAATCCCCTGTACCTGTGAACATGACTTGTTTCAAAATAGGGTCTTGGCAGAAGAGTGGGGAATGTATTGGAGGAGAGTAAGGCTGGGCTGGAGGCAGGGAGACTATTTAAGGAAATATTTTAGTTAATTCATATCAGAAACCATTCTCACCAGTATAGGTGGTGACTGTAGAGATTGGAGAAGGGAATGAGCTGAAGATTATTTTGGAAATAGAATCAACAGAACTCAGTGACTGGAGATGGGGGAAAAAAAAAGATGAATTAGGGATGATACTCTAGTTCCTGACTACAAGAACTGAATGCATAGAGAATACAATAAGAGGAACAGATTTTAGAGGAAAATATTAGGTTCCATCATGCTGAGTTTGAGATCCCTCTGCGTATTAGTTTCCTCAGACTGCCCATAATAAAATGCAGAAAAGTAGGAGGCTTTAAACAACAGATATGTACTGACTCACAGTTGTGGAGGTTAGTAGTCTAGATTCAGAGTGTTGGCAAAGCCATGTTTTCTCCAAAGGCTTTTCCTGTCTCGGTTAACTTCTGGAGATCCCAGGTGTTCCTTGGCATGTAGGTGCATTGTCACATGGCCATCTTTCTCTGTCTCTCTGGGCCTCTTTTCTATTTTCTATTATAAGAATACTATTTATATGGGATTAGGACCACCCTACTCCAGTATGACCTCATGTTAACTGATAGCATCTCCAAAGACCCTATTTCCAAACAAGGGTATGTTCACAGGTATGGGGGATTAGGACTCCAACATACCTTTTTGAAGGCTAAAACTCTGTCTGTAACACTCTGGGACAAGCTTGTAGATCTGTCCAGTAGGTAAGGGGCTCTGTCATCTAGAAATTAGGAACAAGATCTTTAATGTTGTTATTGTTGTTAGGTGCCACTGAGTCAGCTCTGACTCATAGCAGCCCTATGTACAACAGAATGAAAAACTGCCTGGTTCTGTACCAGCCTCACAATACTTGGTGTACCAGAGCCCATTGTTGCAGCCACTGTGTCAATCCATCTCATTGAGGGCCTTCCTCTTTTTCATTGACCCTCCACTTTACTGAGCATGATCTGTTTCTCCAGGGAATAGTCTCTTCTGATGATAACGTGACCAAAGTAGGTCAAGTGGTCTGACCACTCTCGTATTCTGGGAGGGAGCATTCTGGCTGCAGTTCGTCCAGCACAGATTTGTTCGTTCTTCTGGCAGTCCATGGTATTTTTAGTATTCTTCGCCAGCACCACAACTTAAAAGCATCAACTCTTCTTTGGTCTTCCTCATTCATTGTCCAGCTCTCATATGCATACGAGGCAATTGAAAATACCATGGGTTGAATGAGGCACCTTAGTCTTCAAAGAAACATCTTTGCTGTTCAGCACTTTAAAGAGCTGTTTGGCAGCAGATTTGCCCAGTGAAATATGTCATCTGATGTCTTGACTGCTGCTTCCATTGGTGTTGATTGTGGAACCAAGTAATATGAAATCATCGACAACTTCAGTCTTTTTTCCATTTATCGTGAGGCTGCTAATTGGCCTAGTTGTGAGGCTTTTCGTTTCTTTATGTTGAGATGTAATCCATACTGTAGGCAGTAGTCTTTAATCTTTATCAGTAAGTGCTTCAAGTCATCCTCACTTTCAGCAAGCAAGGTTGTGTCATCTACATATCACAGGGGTTAATGAGTCTTCCTTCAATCCTGATGCCATGCTCTTCTTCATATAGTCCAGCTTCTCAGATTATTTACTTAGCATACAGATTGAATAAGTATGGTGAAAGGATACAACCCTGACACATTCCCTTCCTGATTTTAAACCATGCAGTATCCCCTTGTTCTGTTTGAACCTGGTCTATGTACAGGTTCCTCATGAGCACAATAAAGTGTTCTGGAATTCCCATTCTTCTCAATGTTATCTGTAATTTGTTATGATCCTCACAATCAAATGCTTGTGCATAGTCAATAAAACACAAATAAACATTTTTCTGGTATTCTTTGCTTTCAGCCAAGATCCATCTGACATCAGCAATATCTCTTCTGAATTGAGCCTGCATTTCTGGAAGTTCTCTGTCAATACACTGCTGCAACCATCTTTGAATTATCTTCAGTAAGATTTTACTTGCGTGTGATTAATGATATTGTTTGATAATTTCTGTTTTCTGTGGGATCACCTTTCTTTGGAATGGGTACAAAATGCATCTCTTCCAGTCAGTTGGCAAGGTAGCTGTCTTCCAAACTTCTTGTCATAGCCAAGTGAGTGCCACCAGTATGGCATCCGTTTGTTGGAAACATCTCAGTGGGTATTCCATCAATTCCTGGAGCTTTGTTCTTTGCCAGTTCTTTCAGTGCAGCCTTGACTTCTCTGTACCACTGGTTCTTGATCATATGCTACCTTCTGAAATGGATGAGCATCAACCAATTATTTTTGGTCCAGTGACTCTTTGCATTCCTTCCATCTTCTTTTGATGTTTCCTGCATCATTCAATATTTTGCCTATAGAATCTTTCAGTATTGCAACTCATGGCTTGAATTTTTTTCTCAGTTCTTTCAATTTGAGAAATGCCAAGTGTGTTCTTCACTTTTGGTTTTCTAACTCCAGGTCTTTGCACATTTCATTATGATAATTAGCTTTGTCTTCTTGAGTTACTCTTTGAAATTTTCTGTTCTGCTCTTTTGTCTTGTCAATTCTACCATTTGCTGTAGCTACTCTCTGTACAAAGGCAAATTTCAGAGTTTTTTCTGTCATCCATTTTGGTCTTTTCTTCCTTTCCTATCTTTTTAATGACATTTTGCTTTCTTCATGGATGATGTTCTTGATATCATCTCACAATTACTCTTCTTTTCAGTCATTGGTATTCAGTGCATCAAATATATTCTTTAGATGGTCTCTAAATTCAGGAGGAATGAAATCAAGATCATATTTTGGTTCTCATGGACTTCTTTTAATTGTCTTCAGCTTCAAGTTGAACTTGCATATGAGCAGTTGATGGTCTGTTCCACAGTCAGGTCCTGGCCTTGTTTTGGCAGAAGATATGGGGCTTCTCCATTGCCTCTTGCCACAGATTTTGTTGTTGTTGTTATGTGCCGTCAGACTTGACTCATAGCAACCCCTCCTTGGGTTTTTGAGGCAGTATCACGACTGAAATGGATTGTCCAACCTCCGAGGAGTGGCTGGTAGATTCAAACCGCCAGCCTTCTGGTTAGCAGTCAAGTTCCTTAGGCACTATGCTACCAGAGCTCCTGCCACAGATGTAGTCGATCTCATTTCTATGTACTCCATCTGGTGAAGTCCATGTGAATAGCCACTGTTTATGTTGATAAAAGGCATTTGCAATGAATCAGTCATTAGTCTTATAAAATTCTATCATGCAATCCCCAGCATTATTTCTATCACCAAGGCCATGTTTTCCAACTACTGGTGATTCTTCTTGGTTTCCAACTTATGCATTCAAATCACCAGTGATAAGCAACACATCTTTATTGCATGTTTGGTCAATTTCAGACTACAGAAGTTGGTAAAAATCCTCAATTTCTTGTCTTTGGCTTTGGTGGTTGGTGCATAAATTTGAATAATAGTATTAACTGGTCTTCCTTGTAGGTGTATGGATATTATTCTATCACTGACAGACTGTACTTCAGGATAAATCTTGAAATGTTCTTTGTGACAATGAATGCCATGCCATTCCTCTTCAATTTGTCATTCCCAGTATAGTAGAGATCATATGGTTGTCTGATTCATAATGGACAAAAACAGCCCATTTCAGGTCACTAATGCCTAGGTTGTCCATCTTTATGCGTTCCATTTCATTTTTGACAACTGCCAATTTTCCTAGATTCATACTTCGTGCATTCCATGTTCTGATTATTAATGGATGTTTGCAGCTGTTTCTTCTCATTTTGAGTCATGCCATATCAGCATGTGGAGGTCCCAAAAGCTTTACTCCATCCACATCATGAAGGTTAGCTCTACTCTGAGGAGGGAGCTCTTCCCTAGTTGTATTTTGAGTGCCTTCCAACATGAGGGGCTCATCTTCTGGCACTATTTCAAACAATGTTTCAAGGCTTTTCATAAAGTTTTCCAGTAATATGTCAGACATTACTTCACTGCTGTTCATAAGGTTGTCACTAGCCAATTCTTTGAGAATAGATGGCCCCTTTCTTCTTCTGAGTCTATCTTAGTCTGGTGGCTCCACTGAAACCTGTCCACCATGGGTGACTCTGCTGTTACTTGAAATACTGGTGGCATAACCGCCAGCCTCACAGCAACACTCACGCCACAACAATATGACAAACTGACAGATGAGTAGTGGAAGATCTTTGATAGAGAGGTTTTTATTGAGTTGAAGCCATTGGAATGAATAAGGACCACTCAAGAAGAGCTTTTAAAATGAAATTCTGAGAATAAAGCCTAAAGGAATCCCCAAAAAATAAAGCCCAAAGGAGTAATGGAAGAAGGAGAAACCAATGAAGAAGACTGAGCAGGAATGGCCAGAGAGACAGGAGGGCACACAAAAACGTCAGTGGAAGACAGATTCATGAAAGGTCAAATGCTGTAGGGTGATAAAATAGTGTAAGGGAAGTACCTTCAGGATTTATCAACCCAGGGCTAGGTAGGCTTGATACACGTCTTTCAGTATAGTAATGATGTGAGAAACTATAGTGAATTGAGCTGAACTTCATGGAAGGTGAAGAAAAGTTGACAGTAGTCATCCTTCTCATGGAGCTTGACTGTGAAGGGAAGGAGAAAAGAGAGTGATAAGATAACAAGGATGTAAGGTAGAAGGAAGGTTTTGATTTGTTTTAATATGCCTGTGTGCTGAAAGAAGCATGTCAATAAAGAGGAAAGTTGACAGTAAGGTAAGGGAGATTGATGACTGCAGCAGGTGCTCAGGGGAAGTGTGTGTGTGTCAGGGGGATGGGAAGGGACTGGAGGAGAAATAGGTGTGATCCAGAGACTATCAGAAGGATTTTCCTCTGACTGTGGGGCTCTCTTTATGCCAGCTTGGGAGTAAGGAAGATACACATGAAGTGGACCGTTTTGTAGGGGGTTGGCAAAAATACCAAGATATTCTTGTCTGATAGCCTCTGTGTTCTACTTTGAATTTCTGTGAAAGAAGACCTTGAGAGTAAAGGAGGAAGTGGTGTTGGAAGTTGGAGGAAAATGGAAAAGATTGAAATACGTGTTCTAACAAGTGGGAGAGGGAACTCAGACAGACAAAAGGATTGGGAAAGTCATGCTCTGTGGCCCTGAGCATGCTATTTAAAGTCTTTCTGACTATTGCCTCTTCTCCAAGTTGGGGATTAGGCTTGATAGCACAGTATTAAGTCCTTGGCACAGTGCGTAGCACTTTATAGGCTCTCTGTCCTTAACTCTTCCCTCCATATATGGTGTATGTTAGGGCACAGGATCCCCTAAGCTCCTGTCCTTTAAATACTTATTCCTAATTTATCACCAAAGATTCACCAAGTACCTTTGGTAGGTGCTATGGGAGGTACAATGTGTGAAAGGTGCCTTCATGGTTTCTTGTTAATATACTGGAAGGTTTAACAAATTATATTTAATGATAGTGATGCTATGATGTGCAGGAAAATTAATAGGACCCACGTAGAAAAGGAATTTTACTTACCATGTGGTACAGTCAGAACACTGAGTACCTAGAAGCACTGATCTCTTTTGGGGGGAATATCTGCTATTTAGAGAACTCCAAAAAAACCAAAACCAAACTCACTGCTGTTGAGTCTATTGGACTCATAGTGACCCCTCCTTGAGTTTCTGAGGCAGTATCTCTACGAAAGTAGCTTGCCCCATCTTCTTTCTGAGAAGTGACTGGTGGGTTTGAACTGTCAGCTGTCTGGTCAGCCGTCAGGTGCCTTAGGCGCTATGCCACCTCCATGAAATATTAATAGATTTCATTCTTATCATGAGCAGAGAAATATAATTTTACTAAGAGAAAGTATGTGTATGTCATTTATGGCATTGGGCTTTTTAGGCACCACCCAAGGACTTTTTCAGATATTAAGGAACAAAAACTCTGGCTAGCTCAGAAAATGGAGATCACTGTAAGGACAGGTGTGGCCATAGGGAATGACTCCTCCGAGAAGTCCAGCAGTGGAACTTTACTGACCCTTACCTTCTCTGTGTGTCTGCTTCTCTTTATTGATTTATTCCACATCTCCCTTTGGTGTCAGTGGCTGATTCTCTCTGTAGATTCCTCACATTTCTGAGAGAGGGCATCTGGTTTGCCTGGCTACTTACTTCATCCTATATTTGGGCAGAGCTTTTCTCTCCAGGTTTTTAAAGATAATATGTTAATAATAATAACAATAACATTTACTGAGCATTTGCTGTGTGCTCAGCAGTGTGATATGTTACATGTATTATCTCATTTACACCTTTCAACAACCTCATGAGATAAAAACTGTCATCATAGTAGAGGAAGCTGCAACTTGGACATATTTATGAATGTGCACAGGGCCACAGGGCTCTGAATATGCCTCCTTTTGGAGCCTGTGATGTTAACATCCTGCCCACTTGATATGTTGGCTGCATTTAGGTCACATTCTCACCATTGGCCCACTCATGTCAGAGTCGCTTTAGTATTGGTGAGCTAGGCAAACCCTGGCTTTGATGTGCTAGTGTAATTATACATATTCTCTACAAAAACAGGTTTTCGTTTTCTTTTGTATGTGTGTGTGTGTGTGTGTGTGATATTTGTATATCACTTATTCATTAGTTTTATTTATGCTGATAAAAGTAAACTTGTCTTTAGGAAGTAAACTTGTCTTTTAAAAAAAAAAACTATGGGGAAAATATCCTAAAACAAACCCTATTTTCCGTGTATGTGGGAGAGAATGCTATTATTGTACTTCAGCAGAGGAGCACCTTGGCTCCATCTGTGGAACATCTGGGTTCAATAGGAACTTAATTTGAAAATGACTGTCCAGTAAACTGAATGTATTCACATTTAAGCCTTGCTTTTCTTCTAGGTATTGTTAATGTATTGTATGCATTTTGAGACATTGTCAGTTAATTGATTTCTAGGAGCTGATTTGTATTTTGGTATTAATGCACTTTTAAAAACTCATTTATACAGTACAAAAAGTTGCTTACTGAGGAGGGACAAAAAGTAGGAACCTTCGAGAGATTTATTTCGGGTTCCATGGCTGGAGCAACTGCACAGACTTTTATTTATCCCATGGAGGTAAGAAGTGTTGTGAAGTCTGACTGAAGTCTGATGATGTTTGTAGTAGTTATTTATTACTATGAAATAAACAACTCCAAAATTAACAGTTAAAATGACAAGCATTTGTTGTCTGATGGTAGGTATCTGTGTGTTAGGAATTTGTGGGTTAGGAATCTGGGAGCAGGTTAGCTGGATGCTGGTAGCTCATGGTCTCCCAGCCTGCAGTCAAGGTGTCATCTGGGGCTGCAGGCCCCTCAGTGTTCAACTGGTGGTAGAGCTGCTTCCAAGCTACTCATATGGCTGTTTGCAGGCCTCGGGTCCTCACTGCCTATTGGCTGGAGATATTGGTCCTATACCATGTGGGTGTTTCAATAGGCTGCCTAAATAGTCCTGCAGTGTAATAGGTGGCTTCTGTCAGAGTCAGTGATCTGAGAGAGAGAAAACAAGTGCCTAAGATGGAAGCCATAGTCTTCTGTCACTTCTACCATATTCTGTTGGTCACCCAGATCAACCCTGGTGTAGAGTATGGGAGGGGGACTATATAAGGGCATGAATACCAGCAGGCCTTTGAAGGCCATCTTGGAGACTGATAGCCACAGTATTGGTGAAAGTTATGACTCCCACTCCTCTCCAAAGAGTTTCTGTACTATACATTTAATAATAGAATCTTAGGATTTGAGTAGGTAACATTAATCCTAACTAGACATCCTTCTATTACAACACAAGTTGGCAGATTACAGACTCATGGTCTGTTTTGTACAGTCTCATAGCTAAGAATGGCTTTTATCTTTTTAAACTTTTTAAAAGGTTTCTTTCTTTTTTTTTTTTAAAAAAAAAAAGCAAAAACCTCATACAGTAAGTAGCAACCTGATACTTTAGGCCAGCAAAGCCTCCAATACTTATTATCTGGGTTTTTACAGACAATGTTTACAGAATCTTGCAGAGCAAAAATAATCTTGTAAATGTGGAGATCTTCACTGATACAAGAAAGGATTTTTCAGTAATTGTTAAATCTGAAGTAAAATGCACTGTTAAATTTCACTGCTTTGTGGTATGCAAATTAATATAGCTTTCTTTGTAACCATCTTAAACTTAATATGATTGTATTACCTTCATATTACTCCACACACTCCTAAAAATATATCCTAGCCCAACACCCATTCTTTCTCTTAGAACAGCATCACTGTCTCACCTCTCCACCCCAATTTTATTCCAAACTAGAAATGCTGGAGTCATCCTTTATGCTGCCATTTTCCTCACCTACCATGTCTAAGTGATCACCAGTTCAATTATATTAAGACATCAATAAATTATCTTCTCTCCATTTTCTCTGCCATTACCCTCATTCAGATCTTTTCATTTGCAATAAACAGGTCACCCCGGCTCAGGTGTCAGTCCCTCAGTAGAGAAAGTACTTGAGTGAGAACATATCAACATATTGGACAGTCATTTGAGTGACAGTATGTGCTAGGTATTTGTTCTCTGTGAAATCACTTCTTTTGAATTCTATGATGATAGAGTTAATATGAACAATCATATTTTGTTATATTCTTTCATATCCAGGTTATAAAAACCAGGTTGGCTGTAGGCAAAACTGGACAATACTCTGGAATATTTGATTGTGCCAAGAAGATTTTGAAACATGAGGGCTTGGGAGCTTTTTACAAAGGTTATATTCCCAACTTATTAGGCATCATACCTTATGCAGGCATAGATCTTGCTGTGTATGAGGTGAGTTTATAACAGTTCTTCTTTTTTATTCTGAAAATGTGGTCCAGTAGTTCTTATTTTTAGAATTTGACTTTATCTAAAGAAGTATACACACACACACAAACACGAGAAAATAGTTTGTAACCAAAAACAGATTTAATGCTATGTTATTTGATCTTTCTTAGAGGGCTTTTTCTTGAGCTGAATTTTGAGGAATGTATAAGAACAGTTAAAAAAAAAATGGTATAGGGGTTTGGGGAAAGGTATTGGCAGGATCCAGGTAAGAGGAGGGAGGTAGCTCCCAGCTCCCACCCAAAGGGTGGAAAGAGGGAAATCCAGGGCCTACGGTGGCAGGATCCAGGTAAGGGCAGGGAGACAGCTCCCACCCAAAGGCAAGAAGGAGGGAAGCCAGGGCCGAAGGCAGCAAGATCTAGGTAAGGGCCAGGAGACAGCCCCCACACAAAGGCAGGAGGGAAGGAAGCCAGGGCCGACAGTGGCAGGATTCAAGTGAGGGGAAGGTGGAGAGGTTTTGAATAGCTAAGGGAGATGAACTTGTCTATCGGTTTGTTGTACTGTGGTGCCTTGCATGTTGCTATGAGGTTGGAGACTGTGCTCCTGGTGTTTCAAATGCCAGCAGGGTTGCCAATGGTGCACAGGTTTCAGTGCAGCTTACAGAAGGAGACAGACTCAGAAGAAGGAAGAGACTATCCACTTCTCAAAGAATTGGCCAGGGAAAACCTTATGAATAGCAGAGAAACACTGTGTGATAAATTGCTGGACAACTTTATGAATAGCTTGGAAACATTGTCCGATACAGTACTGTAAAATGAGCCCCTTAGGTTGGAAGGTGCTCAAAATACAACTGGGAAAGAGCTGCCTCATGAGAGTAGAACCAACCTTAATGATATGGATAAAGTAAAGCTTTTGGGACCTCCATTTACTGATGTGGCATGACTCAAATTGAGAAACAGCTGCAAACATCCATTAATAATTGGAATATGGAATGTATGAAGTATGAATCTAGGAAAATTGGAAGTTGTCAAAAATGAAATGGAACACGTAAAGATTGATATTCTAGGCATTAGTGAGCTGAAATGGACTGGTTTTGGCCATTTTGAATCAGATACTATGACTGTATGTATGATCATAGTAGATCATACAATCTACTATGGCAGGAATGACAAATTGAAGAGGAATGGCATGGCATTCATCATCACAAAGGTTGTTTCAAGATCTTTTGAATGCCGTCAGTGATAGGATAATATCCATACACCTACAAGGAAGACCAGTTAATACAACTATTATTCAAATTTACACCAAAGCCAAAGATGAGGAAATTGAAGAAACTTTGCTTGCTCAAACTTCTGCAATCTGAAATTGACTGAACATGCAATCGAGATATGTTAATTATCACGGGTAACTAGAATGGAGAAGTTGGAAATGAAGAATCACTGGTAGGTGGAAAATTTGGCCTTGCTGACAGAAATAATGCTGGAGATAGCATGATAGGATTATGCAAGACCAACGACTCATTCATTGCAAATACCTTTTTCAACAAGACAAACAGTGGCTATACATGTGGAGTTTGCCAGATGGAGTACACAGGAATCAGATTGACTACATCTGTGGCAAGAGGCGATGGAGAAGCTCAATATCTTCAGCCAAAACAAGGCCAGGAGCTGATTGTGGAAAGACCATCAACTGCTCATATGCAAGGTCAAGTTGAAGACAATTAAAAAAAGTCTGCGAGAGCTAAAATAAGACCTTGAATATATCCCTCCTGCATCTAGAGACCATCTAAAAAATAGGTTTGATGCATTGAACAACAGTGACCAAAAACCAGAGGAATTGTGGGATGACATCGAGAACATCATTCATGAAGAAAGTAAAAGGTCATTAAAAATAAAGGAAATGAAGAGAAGACCAAATAGATGTCAAATAGACCAAAATAGAAGAGACATGGAAACTTGCCCTTGAACAGAGAGTAGCTAAAGCAAATGGAAGAAAGGACAAGATGAAAGAGCAAAGAGCAGCTTGAAAAGATGAAGTAAGTTATTGTAATGAAATGTGCAAAGAACTGAGTGGAGTTAGAAAACCAAAAGGGAAGAACATGCTCAGCATTTCTCAAGCTGAAAGAACTGAAGGAAAAATTTAAGCCTCCAGTTGCAATTGAAAGATTATGGGCAAAATATTGAATGATGCAGGAATCATCAAAAGAAGATGGAGGGAATACACAGAGTCACTGTAGCAAAACAAATTGGTCTGTGTTCATCCATTTTAGGAGGTGGCATATGATCAAGAACCAATGGTACTGAAGAAAGAAGTTGAAGGTGTGTTGAAGGAATTGCCAAAGAACAAGGCTCCAGGAATTGATGGAATACCCATTGAGATGTTTCAACAAATGGATGCCACACTGGAGGCACTCACTTGGCTATGCCAAGAGGTTTGGAAGATAGCTAGCTGGCCAACTGACTGGAAGAGATCCATATTTGTACCCATTCCAAAGGTGATCCCACAGAATGTGGAAATTATTGAACAATATCATTAATATCACACGCAAGTAAAATCTTACTGAAGATAATTCAAAAATGGTTATAGCAGTATATTGACAGAGAACTTCCAGAAATGGAAGCTGGTTTCAGAAGAGGACCTGGAACAAGGGATATCATTGCTGATGTCAGATGGATCTTGGCTGAAAGCGAAGAATACCAGAAAGATGTTTACTTACATTTTAATGACTATGCAAAGCATTTGATTGTGTGGATCATAAAAAAGTATGGCGAAAATTGAGAATGGGAATTCCAGAACACTTAACTGTACTCATGAGGAACCTGTACATAGACCAGGAGGCTGTCATTTGAACAGAGCAAGGGGACACTGCATGGTTTAAAATGTAGAAGGGAATGTGTCAGAGTTGTATCTTTTCACCATACTTATTCAGTCTGTATGCTGAGAAATAATCTGAGAAGGTGGATTATATGAAGAAGAATGTGGCATCAGGATGGAGGGAAAATCAACAACCTGTGATATGTTGATGACACACTTTGCTTGCTGAAAGTGAAGATGACTTGAAGCATTTACTGACAGAGATTTAAGACTACAGTCTGCAGTATGGATTACATCTCAATATGAAGAGAACAAAAATCCTCACAACTGGACCTATAAGCAGCATCACAATAAATGGAGAAAAGATTGAAGTTGTCAAGGAGTTCATATTGCTTGGTTCTACAATTGATGCCAATGGAGGGAGCAGTCAGGACATCACTATGTATAGCACTGGGCAAATCTGCTGCAAAGGACCTCTTTCAAGTGCTGAAGAGCAAAGATGTCTCTTTGAGGACTAAGGTGTGCCTGACACAAGCCATGTTATTTTCAGTTGCCTCATATGCATATGAGAGCTGGACAATGAATAAGGAAGACTGAGTAAGAGTGGATGCTTTTGAGTTATGGTGCTGGCGAAGAATGCTGAAAGTACCATGGACTGCTAAAAGAACTAACAAATCTGTCCTGGAGGAAGTGCAGCCAGAATGGTCCTTGGAAGCGAGAATGGCCAGATTTCATCTAACCTACTTTGGTCATGTTGTCAAAGGGATCATTCTCTGGAGAAGGATGTCATGCTTGGTAAGGTGGAGGGTTGACAGAAGAGGGGAGATGGATTGACACAGTGGCTGTGGCTATGGACTCAAGTATAGCAAGGATTGGGGAGCTGGCGCAGGGCCAGGCCATGTTTTGTTCTGCTCTGCATAGAGTGCCTGTAAGTCGGAGATGACTTGATGGCACTTAACAACAACATTACAGACAAAGACCTGGAACTTTGAGAGAGCCTGAGATTTTGGAAAATTGCAAGTAGCTTTGACATAAGATAGGGTTTGGCAATGTTTGTTGATGAGGCTGGAGAATTAGGTCCTGAAATTCTATGTTGTTCAGCTGAAGAGATTGGCTTCTATCCTGAAGGTGACAGAGAACTATTGAAGGACAAACTAAGTGAGAGACTTAATTAGATTTACATTTTATTTCTTTTTGCTTTAGCATTGATTGTAGGGAATCCTGGAAAAGAGGAACAGATTTGGTTGGGATTGGGAGTATGAGTTTGATACTTTACACTTGAAGTATTTGTAAACATCTAAGTGGAGATGCCCAGAAATTAGGTGGATATATAAGTCTGTAGCTTGAAAGAAATGTTCTGGGCTGGGGAAAAAGATTTGAGGGTGTCAGAGCATATGTAGCAGTGAAAAAAACATTAGTTTTTGGTAATATCAGTAGAAAGACCTACATGCAGAACACCTACCCCAGGGCGATTCATTCACCTACTCAAAGGAGATGCACCCCTTGAATCCATCAGCCATGAGATGCCAGAGGGGCAGCAATCACATGGAGACAGGAATGCATAGTTAAGGGCACAGGGAAGGGGTAGTCACAGGGAGGGGAGGAGAGGAGAGTTTTTTATGGTTGAGGATGATAATGTCCATGAAGTCAAATGTGCATGAACTGTTGAATGTAAAACAAATTTACTTTGTAAATATGCACTCATAGCACAAAAAAAAATTTAAAAGAAAAAGATTCCACCATAAGAGTAAAAAGAGAAACCAAAAACTGGGGGAAAAAAATTTGGCAACAACATATCAGACAAGGGGCTGATCTCTAAAATTTATAGGAAACTTCAATAATTTAACAACAAAAAGAAAAATAATTCAGTTAAAAAATGGGCATAGAACATGAACAGACACTTCACCAAAGAAGACATTCAGACAGTGAATAAACACATAAAGATAGGCTCACAATTATTAGCCATTAGAGATGGAAATCAAACAAAATGAGATTCCATCTCACTTTGGCACTGATAATAAAGTTAAAAAAAAAAAAGTAGAAAAACAACAAATGCTGGCAAGGGTGTGAAAAGACTGGAACCCTAATACACTGCTGGTGGGACAACTGCTGTGGAAAACAGTGTGACACTTGCTTAAGAAGCTGGGAATAGAAATACCATATGATCCAGCAATCCCACTGCTAGATATATGTCATAGAGAAATAAGAGCCATGACAAAACAGATATATGCACCTCATGTTCATTACAGTACTATTCATGGTAGCAAAAAGATGGAAACAATCTAAATGCCCATCCATGGAGGAGTCAGGATATTTTAGGATCAGCAAACTGTAGTATGTACACACAATGGAGTACTATGCAATGTTAAATAATAATAATACCTATTTGTTACAGTTTCTCCCTATGATTGCCTTCTATTGGAAATACAGGGGCCCAATAGGTCAGCAGTTTGAACCAATGAGCCACACCATGGCAGAAGCATAAGGCAGTCTGCTCCCATAATGATTTATAGCCTTTGAAAGCCTGTGGGCAGTTGTACTCTGTTCTACGGGGTTGCTGCGAGTAGGTTTGACTAGATGGCAGTGGGTTTGGTTTGGTTTAATGATAATAGGGAAAAAGCACGGTCTGTGGGTCAGTAGATGTGAATCTGAGCCCTTATTAAAAAAACCTCATTAAACAAAGTTTTCTCATTTATAAAATCCAAATTATAGATCCATGTCAGTTTTTGAAAGGGCCAAAAGAAATAATGTATGTGTAAAGTGTAAATTGAGACACAATTACAGTCAATCCTCATTATTCACAGACTGCTTTTCTGCAAATTCATCTACTTGCTAAAACTGATTTGTACCCCAAAATCCACACTCACGGTGCTTTACAACGTGCTCACGCACAGAGGGTGAAAACCACGCAGTACAGTATACGTGGTCCCAGCTGAGTTCAAACAAGGCTAAGATTAGTCTCTCAACTACTATCAATATTAGTGGCTATGTTGTAAGAACATAATGATCATGAATAATGAAAATTGACTGTAGTAGAGTATATTAATTTAATACTCACTGCAAAAAAATGTTCTTTAGATCCTACAGTGCCTGGTGTGCTGTTCATTTTCAAGTTTACTTAGAAGAAAATGTGCAACTAGTGCAAACCTGTTGTTGTTGTTGTTGTTGTTATGTGCCGTCGAGTCGGCCCCGACTCATAGCGACCCCTCCTTGGGTTTCCGAGGCAGTATCACTACGGAAGTAGGATTGCCCAACCTTCCTTCCGAGGAGTGGCTGGTGGGTTTGAACCGCCAGCCTTCTGGTTAGCAGGCAAGTGTCTTAGCCACTATGCTACCAGTGCAAACCTAGGAGCTCTGAATCCCCAGTGGCTTCTCCACCTGACTGCAGAGCCGTCACTTCCTGTAGTGACTGCTGTTCCTGGGAGTGTGCCACCTGATCTTGCAGAAATGTGGCCTGTCTCTCATAAGAGTGAGAAGAGTGAAACTTTTCCTGTTGAGTGAAAGCAGTTGTAAAGTTAGTTTTCCATTGTTCTTTCCTCTGGCAGCTCTTGAAGTCCCACTGGCTAGATAATTTTGCGAAGGACACTGTAAACCCTGGAGTCATGGTATTGCTGGGATGTGGTGCCTTATCCAGCACCTGTGGTCAGCTGGCCAGCTACCCCCTGGCTTTGGTGAGAACGCGCATGCAGGCTCAAGGTGAGTTTTTGATTAAACAATGATGCAGATAGAAGTGATACATCAGTAATGTGCTTTTGGGTCTTCTCAGTTTTAGTATTAAGTTCTACTGAGACAGCAGCAGAATGTAGTTTTAAGTCAGTATTCTCAACTTTTTTTCCCCCCATTATCATCTCCTTAAGGAGCCTTTTAGATGTTCTTTTCCTAATCATCTCCTTTCATGAACTTTATATGCACTGTGCTTTATACATAAAAATAATCAAACCCTTTTGCCTCTTTTTCTGCCTGTGTGGAGAATGCATTTGGTATCTAGATGGATTTGGGTTCAGATTCAGGCCCTGAGCCTCCTTGGGTTTTCATTTTCTCATTTGTAAGTAGAAATGAAAGCTGCTATAAAGTAAGAATTAGTAATATTACATGTAAAGTAGCTGATATTTATTATTGATAAATGGTGGCTGGAATTGTTTATTTTTATTACCTCTGCCACTGTGGAGTGGAAAAGTATGCAATCTTGTTGAAGTACCTCCCCTTTGCTATGGGAACATAGAGCAAGGGGCTCTAACCCAACTTGGGAGCTGGAGAAGGCCACGGTTCATATAAGCTGAGAGCTGAAGGTTGCGTATGAGTTGGCTGGGCAGAGGCAGGTGGGGTGGAAAAACAAAGAGCGTTATTTCAGCTTGAGGAAAAGCTCTGAGAAAGCACTCACTATATGAGGGAACTGAGAAAATGGGGCATATTTGAGGAGCTGAAAAATCACATGGCTGGATCATAGAAAGTAAATGGGGAGTAAGAGAACAACTATGCTCTCATTTAACCATCATGACCATCTTTTGGGGTGATTATACTCTTAACCTCTTTCTTTAAATGAGTACCTGAGGCAAAGGGAGACTTAATAACTCCACAAGGTTATGCATTTGGTAAGTTGGTAGAGCTAGGATTCAAACCCAGGCAATGTGATTCAAGAGCCCTCAGTCATAGCCATTACACTACACCAAACCCATGCCTAACAGATCTTCCCCGTCTACTCTGCCAGTTCCAATTCAGACTCTTGCGTTGCTGAGGGACTTGTCACTTGTAAAATGGGTATTATAATATTTATTTTGCTGGGTTGGAATGGAAAATGGTTAGCACATAGTAAGCTCTCAAAAAATAACTCTTATTATCATCATTGTAGTCAAGGCACTCACAGGTACTACGCTAGGAGTATATAAAGGGATACTTTGTTGGGCCCCTTGGAATGGACTTTATCCTTTCATTATATCCTAAAATATCCTGACTCATATTTGTTTATCCTAATAATCAAGAAGGAAATGAAACATACTTGAATATTAAATTAGCTTGTTTGTTTGTATGTTTATTTCCCTAGCCATGTTGGAAGGAACCCCACAGCTGAACATGGTTGGCCTCTTTCGACGAATAATTTCCAAAGAAGGAGTAAGAGGACTTTACAGAGGCATCACCCCAAACTTCATGAAGGTGCTCCCTGCTGTCGGCATCAGTTATGTGGTTTATGAAAACATGAAGCAAACTTTAGGAGTAGCGCAGAAATGACATGTTGAATTTTTTGCTTTAGCAAGATTTCTGAAATTCTCACCAATTTCTGGAGTTACTATTTCTCCTAGAGCTGCAACAAGTCCATGGCAAAAAAGCTGTATTTTTTCATAAAAGGGAAGAGCGTATCAATGATCACTTCAAATATTTTGGCTTATTTTTATATGCACGGGATTATTTGAAATAATAGTTTTGTAAATTCATACAGTTTTAGAGAACCACATAATTGTGTTTATCTTTCATATTAGTCTTCCTGCAAATATCTGCCCTGAATCCTAAATCTGAAAAATGTACTTGCTTGAACTAAATTTGTTTGGTGTGGTATATTATTAATTTGTATTTTGGTTGGTCCAAGTTTATACCAATTCCTTTATACTTGTCTTTTCCTAAAAAAAAAAAAATCCCCAGAAAACCTTGAGACATAAATTATTTTTTAATCTCTATAGACTCTAAATTATTTCCTTATGGAACCATGAATAGAAACTCAATTGCATCAGAACACTCTTTACAAGCAGGCAAACAAGTATAGAGTTTATATCATTATCTTTCTTTAAGCAGAATAGGAATGACCACAAAGGGCAGAATTGCCTGCATGGAAATACCTAGTCCATTTATACTATTTTTGTGGAAGGAGCAGTGAGGAGATAATATTTATTTTAGCTGGCATTTTTCCATTTTACTTGTACCATTATTTGCTTCCTGGAGTTATACACTGATTAAATGTCAGAGTATTAATGTTAAATTATCAACACAAAAATTTGAAAGATTCTGTAGTTGCTTTGAAAAGCCACAGGAACTAAAACCCATTTGCTTGTATCAATAGCTTCCAAGGAGCAACTCTGTTTTCTTTATCCTTTGTCTTCAACTTCTTGACTCAGATTCCATTTTAATCAGAAAGGCTTGTTGGGGCCATTGTTGCCAGTGTGGAATTTCCCTGTCTTAATTACATGAAGTGGTTTGATCATGGGTGAGTGACATTCTTATTTTCCTCTCCCTGTTGCATTTCTTTGATCCTACCATTCTCAATTTGAGCAACATAAACCTAAGAGAATAGTGTGTATTAATAGTCATATATGTTAATCTTACACATTAGATACCTATATTTAAATGAAAAGCCCAATTTATAAACATCCGTTCATATTTTCTCTTGCCCCACATCTTAGGAACATGCAAAACTAATTTATAAAATTGATAGCATTTTTTTATTTTACTCAAGCAATTTTTATAGTCAACTACCTTTTCTGAAATTTGTGTGTGATTAGGACTTAGAGAAATATTTATTAGTTGAAGGTATTCTTAATGCTTTTTAATTTAATTAAGTTCCTAAAACTAAGGCTTTAATCTTAGTTTGATTTCTAATTATTTCTGTTATACATATCAATATGTTTTTGAAAATCTAATGAAACAATAGGCATTTGCTTTATTTGAAGCTACCTCTTTTATTTTCTGAACCAAAGAGAAAAGTTGGACTTGTGTTTGTGAAGCATGTTCTGAAATACTGTTTTCCTCTATGTTAGTTCTTCCTGGTGAATGTCTTGGTATTTTTATAACACAATAAGCCTGGGACTTTACTGTCTTCAGGGTTGCTTTGTACTTTTGAGTGATACATATATGCCATTATAAGATACATGATTAGCTGTTTCTTTTTTTTACTCATAAAAATGATGGAAATGAGTAATTTTATTAATGTTTTTGAAATTTCAAGCTGCTGGAAAAAATGAAACTATTCATTGTTCATTATGAATTTAAATTGTTTGCTATTTAAAATTTGTAAAGCGTGAATGTAATTTGTCTGTGCATCTTGTATTTTTGGGGAAAAAAATAATCTTGTATCTTTTGAAAAAAGCCCAGAGTTGAAGAACATTTATTTCTAGCATTACTGCATATTTACACTCCATTTATATTAAAACAACATTTGTTTTTAACAACTTGCTTTTTTTTTTTAATGTTACGTCAAAAAAAAATACATATGTATTTCTGTGTCACACAGTTTATATCATGGGCAGCAGTTTGAATGTAATGCTTTTTACACCTGGATCCATATAGCCTTCCCCAAATATTTTGGACTTTCTTGAGAAGCCACACTGATTACTGTCTGTGTCATACATTTTGGTATCACATGATGTTTATAGAATATACAAGTTTCTAAACTTACCAAATAGGGTCACACCCCAGAGTTCACAGTGCCAAGGAGCATCCAAAGCCATAGAATTAATTTGATACATCTTGGTGGAATCTCAGTTTATCTGGAAGATGTGGGGCACAAAACCTAAGTAAATTTGTTGTTGTTGTTGTTGTTGTTGTTAGGTGCCATCAAGTCAGTTCCGACTCATAGCAACCCTATGTACAATAGAACAAAATGCTGCCCAGTCATGCACCATTCTCACAATCCTTGCTATACTTCAGCCCATCATTGTAGCCATTGTGTCAATCCATCTCTTTGAGGGTTTTTCCCTTTTTCTCTGACCCTCCACTTTACCCAGTATGATATCCTTCTCCAGGGAATGGTTCCTTCTGACAACATGACCAAAGTAAGTGAGACAAAGTCTGGCCATTCTCACTTCCAAGGAGCGTTCCAGCTGCTCTTTCTTCAGGACAGACTTCTTTGTTCTTCTGACAGTCCATGGTATCCTCGGTAATCTTTGCCAAAACCACAATTCAAAAGCATGAACTCTTCTTTGATCTTCCTTAGTCATTGTCCAGCTTTCATATGAGGCATTGAAAATACCAATGAAATAATTGCATATGAGGCAATTGGGAATACCATGGCATACTTTAGTTTTCAAAGTGACATCTTTGCTTTTTAACACTTTAAAGAGGTCTTTTGTAGCAGATTTGCCCAGTGCAGTATAACATCTGATTTCTAGACTACTGCTTCCATGGGTATTGATTGTGGATCCAAGTAAAGTGTAATCCCTGACAGTAATTCCAATCTTTTCTCCATTTATGGTGATGCTGCTTATTGGTCCATTTGTGAGGATTTTTGTTTTCTTTATGTTGATAACATACTGAAGACTGTAGTCTCTGATCTTCATCATCTGCGTCAAGTCCTTTTCACTTTTAGCAGGCAAGCTTGTGTGTATGAAGACTGAAGGTTGTCAATGAGTCTTTCTCCCATTCCTGATGTTGCATTCTTCTTCATAAAGTCCAGCTCCTTGGATTATTTGCTCATCATACAGATTGAATAAGTATGGTGAAAAGATACACCCTTCCTGATTTTAAACCATGCAGAGTCCCCTTGTTCTGTTTGAACAACAGCCTCCTGGTATATGTACAGGTTCCTCATGAGCACAATTAAGTGTTCTGGAATTTCCACTCTTTGCAATGTTATGCATAATTTGTTATGATCCACACAGTCAAATGCCTTTGCATAGTCAAGAAACAGAAGTAAACATCCTTCTGGTATTCTTTGCTTTCAGCCAAGATTCATCTAATACCACAACGATATCCCTTGTTCCACGTCCTCTTCTGAATCCAACATTTCTGTAAGTTCCCTATCAATATACGTTTGTAATCATTTTTGGATTATCTTCAGCAAGATTTTACTTGTGTGTGATATTAATTATATTGTTTGATAATTTCCATTTTCTGTTGGATCACCTTTCTTTGGAATGGATACAAATACGGATCTCTTCTGGTCAGTTGGCCTGATAGGTGCCTTCCCAATTTCTTGGCATAGATGAGTAAGTGCCTCCAGCGTGACATCTGTTTGTTGAAATGGTATTCCTTCAATTCCTGGAGCCATCTTTTTCATCAATTCCTTTAGTGTAGCTTGGACTTCTTCCTTCAGTACCATTGATTTTTGATCATGTGACTTCCTGAAGTACTTGAACATAGCCTACTTCTTTGGTATAGTGACTCTGTGTACTTCTTCCATTTTCTTTTGGTGCTTCCTGCATCATTCAGTATTTGCCTATAGAACTCTTCAGTATTGCAACTCAAGCCTTGAATTTTTTCTTCAATTCTTTCAGCTTGAGAAATGCTAAGAATTTTCTTCCCTTTTGGTTTTCTAACTCCAGGTCTTTGCACATTTCATTGTAATCATTGACTTTGTCTTCTCAAGCTGCTCTTTGAAATCTTCTGTTCAGCTCTTTGAAATCTTCTGTTCAGCTCTTTTATTTTGTCATTTCTTCCATTTGCTTTAACTACTCTCCATTCAAGAGCAAGTTTCAGGGCATCTTCTGACATGCATTTTGGTCTTTTCTTCTTTTCCTGTCTTTTCCATGACCTTTTGCTCTTTTCAGGTATGATGTTGTTGATGTCACCCATGACTCATTTGATTTTTGGTCATTGATGTTCAATGCATGAAACCTATTCTTCAGATGGTCTTTGAATTCAGGTGGGATATAATCAAGGTCATATTGTGGCCCTCATTGACTTGTTTTAATTTTCTTCAGCTTCAACTTGAACTTTCATATGAGCAATTGATGGTCTGTTCCATAGTCAGTTCCTGGGCTTTTTTTTTTTTTTAGCTGAAGATAATGATATTCTCCATTGCCTCTTTCCACAGATATATTTATAGATATAGTTGCTCTGATTCCTGTGTATTCCATTTGGTGAAGTCCACATGTATAGCTACCATTTATGTTGTTGAAAAAAGGTATTTGCAACAAATAAGTCCTTGGTCTTGCATACGATCTCCGGTGTCATTTCTGTCACCCAAGGCCATATTTTCCAACTTCAATGATTCTTCATTGCCATCTTTCACAGTCCAGTCACCAGTAATCATCAATACATCTCGATTGCATGTTTGGTCAATTTCAGACTCCAGAAGTTGGTAAAAATCTTTAATTTCTTTGTTTTGGGCTTTAGTGGCTGCTGTGTAAATTTGAATAACAGTAGTATTAACTGGTGTTTCTTGTAGGCAATGGATATTAGCCTATCAATCACTGACAGCATTGTACTTCAGGATAGATTGTGACACATTCTTTTTTTTTTTTTCTTTTACTTTTATTGTGGTGAAAACATACACAACAAAACATTCAACAACATAACAACTTCCACATTTACAGCTGAGGGACATTGATGACATTTTTCATGTTGTGCTATTATTGCTATCCTTTTCCAAAATATTCCACCACCATTAGCTTAAACTCAGTGTCCCCCAAACAAAAGCTTCCCCTTACCCCCTCTCCTGCCTCTAATAACAACTACTACTACTAAAGTGTTAATATTATTAATATTAATATTATAAATACATAATTTATATATCATATATGAATATATGTTATATTAATATATATCATACATATCAAAATATGTAATTTATAATATAAATAATAAAACTATTGCTAATTAAAAATGTATATATATACATATATGTATGTATGTATATATATAAAAATATACATATATGTGTGTGTGTGTGTGTGTGTGTG